CAGTGTTATTATAATACCACACTTCAGACTTGAGATAAATTTTCCAACTGTAGCATTTTGTGCAGGATGTAAATATGCAGAATTACAAACAACTTGTTCAGATAGAAAGAGGAATTACAAACAACTTGTTCAAATAGAAAGAGGATGTTCCCTGAAAAATTGTGCTAGGCAACTAAAAAAAAAAAAACCTAATACTGGGATGCCCATGGCATTTTTAAAAACTCATTCCAGCCAGTCATGGTGGCTCATGCCTGTAATCCTAACACTTTGTGGAGCTGAGGTGGGGAGATAACCTGAGGTCAGCAGTTCAAGACTGGCCTGGCAAACATGGAGAAATCCCATCTCTACTAAAAATATAAAAATCAGCCAGGTGTGGTAGTGGGTACCTGTAATCCCAGCTACTCAGGAGGCTGAGGCAGGAGAATCCCTTGAATCCGAAAGGTGGAGGTTGCAGTGAGCTGAAATCAGGACACTCAACTCCAGCATGGGCAACACAGCGAGACAGTCTCAAAATAAAAAACTCATCCTAAGAAAACAAAAATAAGATACAGTTAGAAAAAAGAAAATGTAGTAATTTCTGGCTGATAAGCTTATATTTTTATTCTCACTCTTTGTAATATATATCTATGTTTATATATATCTATGTTTTTATATATATAAAATACACATTTATATATAGAGTCCATTTTAACTCCCTGTGGTTATCACAGAAAAGTATTTGTAGGAAGCTTTTTATTTTGTAATATAGCAGGAGAAATACTATAAAAGTACATATCATTAAAAATAAGAAAAATTATGCTTATTATATTGCTTTTATCAGCCTCTTTAATGAGGATGGTATGAAAATCTTGATGATAGGGTCACATCTTGCTTTTTTTTTTTTTCTAAGACAGGGTCTCAGTCTGTCACCCAGGCTGGAGTGCAATGGTGCAATCACAGATCACCACAGCCTCAACCTCCCAGGCTCATGCAATCCTTTCACCCCAGCCTCCCAACTAGCTATGACTACAGGTGTGCACCACCATACCAGACTGATTTTTTTGTAGAGAGGGAATCTTGCTATGTTGCAAAAGCTGGTCTTGAAATCCTGGGTTCAAGTGAGACTCCTTCCTGAGCCTCCCAAAATGTTGGAATTAAAGGTATGAGCCATCATGCATTTTGATCATATCTCATTTGTCTTGTTTTTGATCATACCTCATTTCTCATTACATCTGTCACTCTTCAGTCTTTCCTAGTAATTTAAATACCATACTAAACTTCATTCTTCCTGTCATTATTCTGAGTCAGTAAAATGAAGTCACTGTCACCAAATTTGGCAATAATAGATTTTTCCTGCCAATTTCAACATTTCATGAAAACTCTATACCTCATCTTTCAAGGCATCATTCTGAAGTAGTAAAACAGTAATTAATGGAAACTTGTGATTAGGAGAGTATAGATGGTTCTTGTCAGTTTTGTCTGTCAGGGGAAATGTAAGAATAATTTCAACACTCAAGGTTCCCAGACTGTGTTTCTTTGTTTGTTGTTTTGAAAAAACAAAAAACAAATTAGAGAAGAAATTTAAAACTACCTGGTGAAATAAAACTTGATGTATAGAATGTCACATTTGCAGCACAGGTCATTTAAAAGGATTTGAATGTCACATCCTTCAACAGTTTGGTGACTGAACACAAGTGGTACCCATCGCTCACATTTAGATAGGGAAGAATAGGGCAGGTTACATTACAGCAAGTAAAGTTAGTAGTCCCATTAGAATCAAACAAAGGAATTTGGACATTAAAAGCAACTGTGTTTCTGAGAAATTGAAAATAAGGGGATGGACAGGAATGTCCACAGCAGCACTGTTCACAGAGCCAAAAAGTAAAAACAACCCAAACACGGATTTAAAAAATGCATTTCACCTGAAGGTGCATGTTTATAACAGAACAAGTTACAGCTGCAAAGATACAGAACCAACCTAAGTGCCCATCGTCCAATGAGTGGATAAAGAATTTACATATACACCACAGAATATTCCTCAGAAGAATGAAATATGGCTGGGTGAGGTAGCTCATGCCTGTAATCTCAGCACTTTGGGAGGCCGATGTGAGTGGATCACTTGAGGTCAGGAGTTCGAGGCCATCCTGGACAACATGGGGAAACCTCATCTCTACTAAATACACAAAAATTAGCTGGATGTGGCTTTGGGAGGCTGCAGCAGATGGATCCCTTCAGGTCACGAGTTCCAGACCAGCCTAGTCAACATGGTATAAAACCTTGTCTTTACTGAAAATACAAAAATTTGCTGGGCATGATGGGGCACACCTGTACTCCCAGCTACTTGGGAGGCTAAGGCAAGAGAATGAGTTGAACCTGGCAGGCAGTGGTTGCAATGAGCCAAGATCACACCATTGTATTCAAGCATGGAGCAAGAAAGGGAGGCAGGGGGGAGGGGGAGAGAAAATAATGTCCTTTACAGCAATTTTGATGTAACTGGAGGACATTATCCTAAGTAAGTAACTCAGAAATGGAAAACCAAATACAACATATTCCTACTTACAGGTGGGAGCTAAGCTATGGGTTTTCAGGGCATAGAGAGGGGTATAATAGACACTGGAGACTCAGAAGTGGGGAGTGTGGGAGGTAGAGTAATGGATAAAATTACAGTATACACTATTTCGGTGACAAGTGCACTAAAATCTCAGACTTCACCACTGTACAATCTAACCATGTATCCAAAACCACTTTGATATGGTTTGAATTTGTATCCTTACCCAAATGTCATGTTGAATTATGATCCTCAGTTTTGGACGAGGGGACTGGAGGGAGGTGATTGGGTCATGAGGGCAGATTTCCTCCTTGTTGTTCTTATGAGTGTGAGTTCTCAGAAGATCTGGTTGTTTAAAAGTCTGTATGTTTTCTCCCTCTATGCTTTCTCTCTCCCACTCCATCCAGCCATGTGGGATATGCCTGCTTCCTCTTTACCTTGTGCCATGATTCTAAGTTTCCTGAGGCCTCTCTAGCCATGATTCCTGCAGAGCATTCAGAACCATAAGCCAATTAAACCTGTTTTCATAAATTACCAAGTTTCATATATGTCTTCATAACAGTGTGAGAACAGACTAATACACATGTGTACCCCAAAAGCTACAGAAATTAAAAAAAAATACATTTAAAAAATGTGGTCCATCAATATGACAGAGTGTTACTTGGCCCTGAAAATGAACAAGACACTGACACATCTACAATGTGGGAAGAAGAAAAACATAATGATGCACACCACACTGGAGATAAGCCATGTTTTGAAAAACCATGCTCAGAGAAAGAAGCCGGACACCAAAGGTCACCAATTGTATGAGTCACTTTATATGTAACGCTAGAATAGGCAAATCTACAAAGACAGAAATGATACTGATGGTTGCCTGGGGCTGAAGACAATGGGGAAACAGAAGGTAATAACAAAAGAATATGGCTTTTCTTTTTGAAGTGATGAAAATGACTTTAGCAATGGTTGCAGATATCCAGTAATCCACGTTTAATTGCACATGTTATAGTGGTGAATTTATGGTATATGAATAATCTCTCAATAAAGTTGTTTTTTAAAAAAGGACATGAAATAGTGGGAAGGGAAGGGTGGAGATTTGAAAGAGAAGTCCCACGAGGTGAATGCATAGGTAACCACAATGGCAACCAGGTAACAGAGCATATATCTGGCTGAGCAGCATCTCTGTGCCCAGAAGAGAGAGAGATGCTCCCATGAAGCTGAGGATGCCAACACTTCAGATCATTTGCTTGGTTAAGCCCCTTCCTGAAGCTAATGCTGATCTGTGGTCTATGTCTTCTTCTTCCTTAAAGAAGATTCTGAAAATTGCATAGCCAACAGGACCCACATAGAAATTGGATGTACTACTGGATACTCCTGTCCTTTTGGACAGATTGTCTCAATATTTCATCTTACTCAAGTCAAAGTTTCATTTGGTTTCCAAAGGGTAACTTTTTCTTCTCAACGGAGTATGTGTATATGTGTAAGGAAATATATCTATATGTAATTGTTACAGGCTGAAATGTTTCCCCTTAAGCCTTATATGTTGAAGTCTTAACCCCCAGAACTTCAGAATGTGACCATGAACCACAGCCTCCATGACGGTGACAAGATAAAGGTTTGTTCTTCAAAAGGACCAGTCTGTACTTTTTTGTCATGACAACCTGGGTAAACGAATTCAATCATGGATATATATACAATTATAAACTTAATATGTGTGCCCCCCCACCAAAGTTCCTCTGTTAAAATTTTGAAACTGTCACCCTCAAACTGACAGGATTAGGAGGTGGGGCCTTTGGTAGGTGATGAGGTCAGGAGGGTGGCACCTCATGAATGGCACTACTGCCTTTACAAAAGGGACACCAGAGAGTTCCATCATACCTTCCAGCCTCTGTATGTAAAGACAAAAAGAGAAGGCACTGTCTCTGAACAAGGAAATCCTCGCCAGACACCGAATCCACCACACCTTGATTCTCGACTTCCAGCCTGCAGAGCTGTGGGCAATAAATATTTAGGCTGCCTGGTCTGTGAGAAATTGTTAGTGTAGACCGCACTGGATAAGATAACATGTGATGGTTCACTTCGTGTGTTTGTGGGTGTGTGGTGCCCAGATGCTCATTCAAACATTGTTTCTGGGTGTGTCTGTGAGTATGTTTCCAGAAAAAAAACAAATATAATATCATACATATGATATAGTATTAAATATGTATACTGTATATGTTATATAATAATATATACTAATAATATATACACCTACACATATACACATTAAATGAACATTATAAATTGCAATTATAGTATACATATATAATACTGTATCATCAGTATCACATTTACTATATAATACAAAGTATATGTACATAGTATGTATAGTATAATTTATACCTACTATATGTACATATATGATAGTATATATGATTGTATTTGTATACATATGTATAGTGTATATTTAATATATATCATATATGCTATATATTACATTATATAAGGTTTATTATACTGTATACTGTATATTTAATACATAATGTAGTGTATATAGTATATATATGGTGTATATAGTGTATGTACTATATATATACAGTATATATGTATACATATGTATGTATATATGTGTATATGTATACTGTATATATATAGTGTAAATACAAATATATATACTATATACATATATTATGTATTAAATATTATACAGTATACATATATGTGTATATAAAATACAGTATACCATGTTATATAAAATATAGTGTCAGATACAGTTGTATTTAATATACATACACAATGGAAATATATATATATATATATGAAGAGATCAACATCAGAAAAAAGTAAATGCATGTATGTGTGGAATATTTAATTTTTCGTTGGATTTGTTTTTTCTTTTTTTGAGACACGTTTTTTTGCTCCTTCACTCAGGCTGGAGTATGTGATGAAGGCTCTCTGCACCCTGAACTTCCTGGGTTCAAATGGTCTTCCAACCTCAGCCTCCCAAGCAGCTGGGACTAGAGGTATGCACCACCACGGCCAACTTTTTTTTATTTTTAATTTTTAGGTAGAGATGGGGTCTCATATGTTGTCCAGTCTGGTGTCAAAGTACTGGGCTCAAGTGATTCTCCCACCTCAGTCACCCAAAGTGCTGAGCCATGGCACCTGGCCTTTCATTTTAAGAGCTACCGCATCCTAATCGGTGCAGATCTATTTCATACTCGGGGCAACTCAAACTTGGATATGATTTATTTCCTCATCATTTCGGATCAGCAACAGAAGTGTGGAGTTCCAGTTTCCTCCACAGTGGGGGTGAGGAAGAGTGACTTCGTATCCACCGGCGCTTTGCCAGCAATCGCAGCCCACCTAAAGAGAGGTGTGGGTCACACCTGGCTCTCTCAGCCCTGCTTGCCAGTGTCCCCACACATGGGAGTTAAACTCTGGTTCCCGATCTTTCCCTGCCTGACCTGCCACCAGTACCATGACCTTTCTCATTGCCAAGCAGCGCAGATCCCACCGGAGTTCACGTTCCTCCTACCTGTCTACCAGCTTCTTGGCGAAGCCGAAGTCCGTGAGCTTGATATGGCCATCCCTATCCAGCAGGATATTCTCCGGCTTCAAATCCCTGTAGACGATCTCCTTGGAGTGCAGGTACTCGATGGCACAGATGATCTCTGCTGAGTAGAAGAGCCCCGTGGTGCTGGAGAAGCGGCCCCGGTTGCGCAGGTAGCTGAAGAGCTCGCCGCCCGGCACGTACTCCATGAGCATGTAGAGGAAGCGCTCGTCATGCCACGTCCAGAACCTGTGGGGACAGCACACGCTCAGGGCTCCGCCAGGGCAGGGCAGAGCGCACGCCTCTGGCTGGGTGTCAGCACACACTCAGGGCCCCTCCAGGGCAGGGCAGGGTAGGGGGTACACTGTGAGGTACATGTTGGGATACAGGTACAGGTAGACGCCAAGATGTGTGTACAGACACAGTAATAGCTCGGGACACATGTCAGGACATGGAGCACACAGATATCAGCACACGGGTAATGGCAGATGTTAACATACAGGTATACACAGGGGTCAGAATGCACGCACACATAGATGTTACAATGTGCTTAGAGAAAGATGTTAGGACATGGGTGGAGATGGGGGCTGATACACAGGTGTAAACAGTGTTACAACATGGTATTGAATATGAATACAGATATGTTAGCATATGTGTGTGGAAAGATGTTCATATGTAGTTATAGAAAGATGGTAGGATATAGGTGTAGATGGTTGTTAGGATATGGGTGTAGATGGGTGTAGACAGGTGTTAATATATGGGTGTAGATGGTTGTTAGGATATGGGTATAGATGGATGTAGAAAGGTGTTAATATATGGGTGTAGATGGATGTAGACAGGTGTTAATATATGGGTGTAGATGGATGTTAGGATATGGGTGTAGACAGATGTTAATATACACGTAAAGATGGCTGTTAGAATATGAATGTAGATAGACATTCTCATAGTGGTATAGAGAGATGTTAGGATATGGATGTAGACTGGTGTTGCTCTGTGGGTGCAGATAGATATTAAGATATGGTTGTAGGCAGATGTTGATATACAGGTGTAGACGCTAATATATGCGTTAGATGGTCAGCTGTGCATACAGACAGATGTTAGGCTATGCGTGTGCATAGCTGTTACTCTGTGGGTACAGGCAGGTGCTGAGGTCTGCATATAGCCAGATAGTAATCCATCAGTACAGGCAGATGCTAAGACACATGTACATGTTAAGATAGGTGTATTATCAGGTATTAGGATAAGCATATAGATGGATATTAAAATATGAATTACATAGATGTTGCATTAGTCCATTCTGGCTGCTATCACAAAAATACCATATACTAGGGGGCCTGACAAACAGGAAACACATATTCCTCTCACTTCTGCTCATGTCTGTTGCCCAGGCTTGTAGTGCAATGGTGTGATATCAGCTAACTGCATCCTCCCTCTCTCAAGTTCAATTGATTCTCCTGCCTCAGCGTCCCAAGTAGCTGGAATTACAGGTGCCCACCACCACACTTGACTAATTTTACTATGTAATCATTGTTTTCTAGAATAATGTGTTGGAATTCTAAAAACCTACCACATACTCACATTCTTTCCATCTCATAGCTGACATCTGGAGTCATTTTTTCCTAGCTAAATGCCCTACTTTTCTGCTTTGCACCATTCCTGGTGGGCAAGAGTGTTCGTCTCAGTCATATTTCATGATATGCGCATGGTCTCTCAAATGCATGACAGTCAAACTGTACTTTGTGGATGAACTTAGAAGACAACCATGATTTCACTGTTTTGGTGGGGAAATATTTTCCAAGGTCCAAATACTATCTTACCAGTCAACTTTTACAGTAAACTTCCGTGTCAGCTGCTGACTTTCTAAACTTCTTCAGGGCACAAGGTGGAAGGAAAATTTAGCTACAACTGACCAGCCGAGGTGTGATATTTAAGATTCGGGGGTTAACACTGAGCTCTTGAAAATACCATAAATGGTCAAAGCAACAGCAAGACCACTGTCTACAACTGTTAATCTGGCTGAAGAGAAGATACACAGCTTTATCAGCTGTTTCCCTATGGCTCAAATATGCAAGAAAAAGATGCATGCCTACACAGACACAGTGACACACACACACACACACACACACACTGACACACACACACAATATCTCTCTTTCCCTCTCTCTCTCTCTCTCTCTCTCTCTTTCTCTTCCCCACCCCCCATCAAATAGTTTGCAACACATTCTTTGCATATATTCTGTACCCTCCCCTACCTACCCCACTCTAGGCTAATTTGATAATTAAAGAACAATGCATAACCTTGACACATGTAGCAACAGCTCACCCTACAGGAGCATCAGAGATAATTAACCATGGTGGGATATTAGAAGGATTTGGGGAGGTTAGAAGCAAGGGATGAAAGAAGTTCCAGGATTAAGGACGTATGTGGAATATGCAAGCCCCTGACAGTACAATGATCTCAGTTTCTGTCACCAGGCTTGCAGGGGAAGCGCAATTTCAACCATGGGTAGGATGATCTGTACTGGAAGAGAGTTAAGGCTTCGTATCAAATGAAAAGAGGAGGGAAAGGAAGAGGAGGGGAGAGGAGGAGAGAAGAGGTAGGCAGGAGACAAGAGGTAGGGAGGAGAGAAGAGGTGGAGAGGAGAGAAGAGATGATGGGGAGGAGAGAAGAGGTGGGGAAAGAAGAAAGGAGGGGAGGGGAGAAAAAGCTACTGAGAAGTGTAAGGTTCGATGAATATACATTTGTTCCACAACTGTCTCAATAAAATCAAATAAATACAATAAATACAAGCGCGTGGTGGCAGAAGCCTGCAATACCAGCTACTCAGGAGTCTGAGGCAGGAGAATCGCTTGAGCCCAGATTGCGCCACTGCACGCCAGCCTAGATGACAGAGCAAGACTCCATCTCAAAAGAAAAATATAACAATAATAATCATCATAGCCATTCCAATAGATAACTACATAAAGAACATTTTGCATATAAAAGCCACAGAAAATGTAGTATATCAACACTGCAATAAAAAATAAAATCATGTCTTTTGCAAAGACAGGGATGAAACTAGAAACCACACCTGTAGTCCCAGCTACTCTACAGGCTGAGTCAGGAGAATCACTTGAACCCAGGGGGCAGAGGTCGCAGGGAGCAAAGACTGTATCACTGCACCGCATCCTGGTGACAGAGAGAGATTCCATCTCAAAAAAGATGGATAGAAAAAGAAAACAAGAGACAAAAATGGTGCATACTCTAGTGACATGATGCGAAAACTGGAAGGGGCAGGTGTGGGTGTGTGCATGCATATATGTGTGCATGCAAGTGTATGTACACGTGCACTTCTGTGTGCATGTGTGTGTGTGAGGGGATTTTTAGACACAGAATACAGAAGGATATAGTTGTAATGGCTGTGAAATACAGTACTTGGCATTGAGGGACAGTGAGTGGAAGAAAGGAAAACTTGAGGCAAGCCTAAAAAAAAAATGTACATAACTAAAACACTGCACAGGCACCCTACACCCATGGGAAAGGCAACTAATTATAATACTAAAATTGTATTCAAGGGGCTATGCACACTGGTTCACGCCTGCAATCCCAGCACTTTGGGAGACTCAGGCAGGTAGATCACCTGAGGTCAGAATTCCAGATCAGCCTGGTTAACAAGGTGAAAACCCATATTTACTAAAATCACAAAAATAGCCAGGCGTGGTGGTAAACACCTGTAATCCCAATTTCTCAGGAGGCTGAGGTGGGAGAATCACTTGAACCCAGCAAGCAGAGGTTGTGGTGAGACAAGATCACACCACTGCACTCCAACCTGGGTGACAGAGCAAGTCTCCATCTTAAAAAAAAAAAAAATTAAATTAAAACAATGTTTTCAAGCAGCTGAAAGCAGGCACTGGAACAGATACTACCAAACTGTGTTTATAGCAGCGTTATTCACTACAGCCAAGAGGTAGAAGGCACCCTAGTGTCCACGAATGCAGGAATGGACAAACACATGCTGTGTCGTCTCTGCAATGGAATATGACTCAGGCTTAGAAAGGAAGGAAATCCCTTTCTGCAGCATAGCGGAATCTGAAGGACATTTCAGTAAGTGAAAGAGCCAGTCACAAAAGGACAAATACTGTATGACTCTACCTATATAAGGTTCCTAGAATCACCAAATTCATAGATGCACAGAGTACAAGGTAGGTTGCCAGGCGGGGCTGCAGGAAGGGTCATAGGTGTTTCATGAGGACGGTTTCAACTGACGAAGATGAAAAGGAATTCTGGAGAAGGATGGGGGTGACGGTCGCATAGAAACATAAATGTGTTCCGGGCCACTAAACTGGGCATCTTTTTTTTTTTTTTTTGAGACAGTCTTACTCTGTTGCATTGCCCAGGATAGAGTGCAGTGGCACAATCTCAGCTCACTGCAGCCTCCACCTCCTGGGTTCAAGTGATCCTCCTGCTTCAGCTTCCTGAGTAGTGAACTGTATATTTTAAAAATGGTAAAAATGATGCCTGACACGGAGGTTTATGTTTGTAATCTCAGCACTTTGAGAGGCCAAGGCGGGAAGATTGCCTGAGGTCAGGAGTTTGAGAACAGCCTGGGCAACAAAGCAAGATCACAACTTTGCCAAAAATTTAAAAATTCATTGGGCCTTGTAGCATGTACCTGCAGTCCTAGCTCTACTTGGGAGGCTGAGGTGAGAGGACTGCTTGAGCCAGGTAGTTGGAGACCAGCCTGTGTAACACAGCAAGACCATGTCTATATCAAAAACTTAAAAATTAGCCAGGCATGGTAGTGCATACCTGTAGACCCAGCTACTTGGGAGGCTGAGGCAGGAGGATCACCTGAGCCCAGGAGGTTGAGGCTGCAGTGAGCCATGACTGCACCAGTGCAATGCAGCGTGAGCAACAGGGCAAGATGTCATTTCTTGGTGGGGGGTGAGGGAAGCGAAAATAGGAAAATCTTATGTGACATATGTTAACAAAATAAAAGAAAATCTTAAAGAATGTATTCCAGCACAAAGAGAAATCTATGAATCCATGAACAGGAGGTAAAGTCAACATGAAGAAAGAGTACATGTCATCAACATTGACTGAGGCAAGGGAGGATTCCATGTCCCCTCCCCTCCGCAGTGACCTCAGCTGAGCTGCGCCGTCCTCTTAGCTGAAAGCAGCGCTTTCCATTTGGAAGCTGATCTGCTGTCTTTTATTTGCAGATTCTGCGGGCATGGCTTTTCCTCTAAGGAGGTTTTTTTTTTTTTTT